CATCTATATTCTTTCACATTTATTTCTTGTAAATTTAGGGAAAGGTTCTGAAATCTCTGATGGATTTGTCTCCTCTGAAGTTCTGTCAGGTTTTGCTCAAGAATTTTGTCATTTGTTGCACAAACATCTACCATTGACATAACCACACCAGCTTTATTTTTATTAGTGTTAGCGTTAATATTTTTATTATATTTTTCATTGCCTTTTTCCCATATGCCTTTATATTTAAAATGTATTTCTTATATGTAGCATATGTAAGTTGGGCTTGCTTTTTAAAAATGCAAATCAGCTATTCTTTTCAGGGTATTTAAGACATTTAATTTTAAATCGACTGTCTATGACTTTTTTTATTCATCCCAGTTATTCTTCTGTATTCCCCCACCTCTGCCTTCTTTTGAAATAATTACAGGTTTTTAAGTGTCTAACCCATCACAGAATACCTTTTAGTAATACTATCTCAATCCTACCAAATGTGAGTACCTTAACAGCAATACACTTTTATATTTCCCCCACCCATCTTTTATTCTTTTATTCTTTTATTGTTAATTCTGCTTTAAATTATCAATTGTCTTTTAAAGATATTTAAAATATTTTCAAAGTATGTTATATTTATCTATATATTCATTGCAGGTTGAGCATCCCTAATCTAAAAACCAAAATCCTCTGAAGTCCAAAACTTTCTGAGTGCCCACATTCAAAAAGTTCTAGACCTTCAAATTTAGAATGCTTAGCTGCTAAAGTCCATATGCAAATATTTTAAAATCAAAAACCTATGAAATCTGAAATGCTTCTGGTTCTAAGCATTTGGGATAAGGTACTGAACCTTTATTCTTTCATTCTCCATTCCTGTGTGTTAATGCAGATTTTCATTTGATATTGTATTTCTGGTTCCTAGAGAATTTTCTTTTATTTCTTATTGTGTTATTGCTAGCAGTGAACTCTTTCAGCTTTTCTATATCTGAGAAAGTAGTGAGCTTTTAAAAGATATTTGTGCTGGATTGCTGGGATATTTTCTTTACCAATAAATAAATAAATAAACCTTGTTAATGCAGGAATATACATAGGTGAAATGGTCAGATCATGAGAACTGTAATGTAATCGGCCCATACTAGTTGGAATGGACTTGACTGGATGATAACTATGGGTGGGTGGGGGGGGTAAGTCATTGGGAATGTGTCTTGGCAGGATGTCTCTGCCCTATACCCCACCCCACCTCCCTGACTCTTCCATGAGCTGAGCAGCTTTTCTCCTCTGGGCCCTTCCTCTATGATGTGCTTGTATTACCTTAGGCTCAGAGCAATGAATTTGGCCTTTGGCCCTCTGAAACTATGAGCCCCAAATAAACTTTTTCTCTTCTAAGTTGTTGTCGGGTTTTTTGGTCACACAGCAAAAAGCTGGCTAAAATACTTATCTTCTCTTGTTTGATTTGTAGCTAGAATTCTCCTGACATTTTATCTTGCTTCTTCTGTATGAAATGGACTTTTATTTTTTCCTTTCTGGCTGCTTTTTGGATTTTCTCTTTATGCTTTCTTATTTTATGGAATTTTCAATCATCTCCCCCCCCTCCCATTTTGGGAATTGACCCTAGGGCTTCATACTTGCTGAGCGAGTGCTTCACCACTTACTCAACCCCCCTTTTATGGAATTTTCATATGTTTGGGTTCATTGAGCTTTCTGTATCTGTGGGTTTATAGTTTTCATCAGATATGGAAAATTTTCTGCCTACCTGAATCTTTTAACAGCTTGAAATACAATTCACCCAATTAAAATGCACTTTCAGTGACTTTTAATTTTTACAGAGTTGTATAACATTTACTGCAATCAATTGATAATATTTTCATCAGCCCCAAAAGGAACCTTGTGCTGTTAGGAGACATTCATTCCCCTTAACATCCTACAACTCAGCAACCATTAATCTGCTGTCTTGGTGGTTTTTTGACTATCCTGGACATTTTGTAGTAGATGGTATATAATACCTGTTATTTTATGACTACCTTCTTTGATTTATAAATGTTTTTGAGGTTTATCCATGTTGTGGTATGTATTAGTACTTCATATAGTATTGTTATGTAGAAATACCATATTTGTTTATCCATTCACCAACTGATGGACATTTGGATTGTTTCCAGTTTGGTCTCTTAAAACAATGTTTCGATGAACTTTTATGTGGATGTGTGTTTTCATTTCTCTTGTGTATATACATAAAAGTGAATTGCTAGCCCATATGCCAAGTCTGTATTTGACTTTTTAAGGAACTGCCATACTATTTTCCAAAGTGTCTGCATCACTTTTTTTTTTTTTTAATTTCCACTGCAGCATTACAAGGGTTCTAGTTTCTCTGCTCATTGCCCATACTTATCATCTGTCTTTTTTATTATGTACATTCCAGTGTGTTTGAAGTAGTATATCATTGTGGTTTTGGTTGCATTTCCCTTGTGGCTAATGACATTGAGCATCTTTTCATGTGCTTTTTAGTCATTTGTGTAACTTCTTTGGAGAAATTCAGATTTTTTTTTGATCATTTTTAAATTGAATTGTCTTTTTTTTAGTTATAAAAATTTTATTTTAAATATATATTCTAGATGTAAGTGTCTTATCAGATTTATGGCTTGCAAATATTGTTTCCCACTCTGTGGATTCTCTTTTCCCTTTTGATATCCTTTAAAGCACAAAAGATTTTTAATTTTGATGAATGTAGTTTTATCTAATTTTTCTTTTATTGCTTGTGTTGTTAGTGTCACATCTAATAAATCATTGTCTAATCCAAGGCCACAGAAGTTATGTGTGTTTTCTTCCAAGAGTTTTCTGAGTTTTATATGAGGTAAGGCCCATCTTCATTCTTTTACATGTGAATTTTTTTTTTTGTCCTTGCCTTTATTTCTTAAACTTCTTTTTTCTCCCCACCTCAATCCTGTTTCAGGTGCTACTAAACTGGATTGTTTAAACTTGTCCTAGACTTCATTAATGTACTTTTCATTGTTTTCCTTCTTTAATTTTGTATAGTTTCTCTTGCTATGTCTTTAAATTAACTAATTTTCTTCACTGTCTATGTGCTATTAATCTCATTCTGGCTGTTTTCATTTTAGATCTTGGATGCAACTTTAGAAATTCATTTTATGTGTCTTGGCTACCTGTCATTTCTATTTCTACTTAACATAATTGGCTAGCTTTTTGACATATGGAGTATAACTGTTTAATATCTACAAATGTTATTATTATCTTTTGACTGGTTTATTAGGTTGATTTTTTTTTCTTCATTATGGATTTTGTTTTCCTGTTTATCTGCTTGGTATTTTTTTAATGAAGTGCTAGATATGAATTTTTATTGGATGATACATATTTTTGTATTCCTATTACTAGTCTTGGGGTGCAGTTAAATTACTTAAAAACAGTTTGATTTTTCAGAGGCTTAATCCTAAACTTTTCTATGTGAGACCAGAGCAGCCATTAGTGTAATGCTAATTTTGTACCACTAATAAGGCCCAGTGCTTTGTGAATTAAGAGATTTCTCCCTTTGATGGTTGGGAACACAGTCTAGCCTTGGTTCTATGTGAACCTGATTGTTGCCTTACAATCCTTTTGAGTGTTTTTTCCTCTCTGGCTCTGGCAGTTTCTCTCATTCATGTGATAATCAGTGCTTGAAGGGAGCCTTCTTGAAAACTTCTGGGAGGGGGCTTCTTCACATTAACAGACTTTTGTTCATTTCTCTCTAGTACACTGCCTTCTTGAATTCTAAGTCACCTTGGTTTCCCTGGACCTTTTCTCCAGAACTGGGGAGATCACTGTGCTCTAGCTGGAATCCCCCTCCCTGCTCTGCTTCTTCCTGTTATAATAAGAAGTTAACTGAGACTACTATAGGGCCTACCTAGTTTGTTTCCCTGCCTTTGAGGGATAACTCTGCTACACCAGTAGGTTTCTAATGTAAATTTTGCAGGTGGGATGGTATATGTTGTCCCTGTTATTCCACCTTGATTAGAAATCTCAAAGTTGCTTTTTAAGGCATCAGAGGATTAGTCAGTTCTCAAAAGCTCTATTTCTGTCACATCTGTTTGTTTCATTCACATTAGAATTTGAACCATTAAGGAGATTATAGAGAAAGTTATCAATTTGTACAAACTGTTGACCTCTTAATCAAGAAATGCCAAAGTACGGATTTAATATTGCATTAAAAGATGTTGTCATTCTGTTTTTAGTTAAATCCTATGTCTACTAGATTCTGTAGTTAAACTTAGTATCTGAAGTATTTCTGGACAAGTATGTTTGTTTTTACATAGTACAGATTTTGTTTACTTAAAGGATTCTTGAAGTAATCTTTGCTTGGACACTCTGATTTTAAACTCATCTAGACTGAGAATATTTTGTTTTCCTTTTTGTTTTGAGGCAAATTATTTTCTGAAGTACAGGTAAGAACAGCTTCTGAGATACTAGAAATTGATTTTCCATAAATCTGAATCAATCATGATCAGATGTTGAATTTATCATAAATTATTCATATATTTCACTCATCTGAGATCATTTTAAAGGCAAATTCTTGCCCATTGTATTTGAAAAACATATAGTCTAGCTGGATGTGGTGGCGCATGCCTGTAATCCCAGCAGTTTGAGAGTTCAAGTCATGAGGAATGGCAAGTTCAAAGCCAGCCTCAGCAGTTCAGCAAGGCTCTAAGTACTTTGTCTCAAAAAAACAAACAAACAAAAAAATTAAAAAGAGCTGGGCATGTGGCACCCCAAGTTCAATTCCTGGTACCCAAAAAGATAAAATAATTAAATAAATAAATATATTGATACAAAGCTTTTAAAGTTTTTGTTTTCATCTGCTAAGTAGAGAGCTTATAACTTAATGATAACAGTGAATTGTTCTAGAATAGATAAGATTTCCTGTTAACCCCTTTTCCACAATTTCTTGGATAATAATTTAAGTTGATCAAAATATGTATTTAATTCACAGATTAAATTATAAAGACTACTATGTAATCCTTGACTTTTTTTTTCTCTTACAGGAAAAGTAAGAAGCTTAAGCTCATCTTTGTGGTCACTAACTCACTTGACAGCTTTGCATCTGAGTGACAATTCCCTGTCCCGCATTCCTTCAGACATTGCCAAGCTTCACAATCTGGTGTATCTGGACCTGTCCTCTAATAAAATCCGTAGTTTACCCGCAGAACTCGGAAACATGGTATCACTCAGGTATGCAGACGAATTTTAGTACACATTAACTGTATACCTCCTAAAACAAAATATAGCATTTGTTTTGTTAGGAAACAAGATTGTCCATTTGATGGTGTTTCAATAAAAGTAAACATTAACTGTATTCTTTATTAATTAAAGTTTTTTGAGAAAATTAAATACTGGTTCAGTAGATCCATTGCTTGAAATTTTTTTATTGCTGTTTTTTTTTTTTAATATTTATTTTTTAGTTCTCGGTGGACACAACATCTTTGTTGGTATGTGGTGCTGAGGATCGAACCCGGGGCCGCACGCATGCCAGGCGAGCGCGCTACCGCTTGAGCCACATCCCCAACCCTTTTATTGCTGTTTTGAGTAATGTGCTTTATATTTTAACCAAAAAATTATTATTTTTTTTTTTTTCACAAAGTGAGGTTAGTAACCATAAGGCACTTGTATTTTCTCATATCATTCTTAACACTGGGTCTAGGTAACATTGACATTTAGACCTTTTTTGCCACCCCAGGGCTTTTATGTAAAGTCTGGACATGAAAGAAGCTAGAATTAGTTATTCAGTTTGAAGTCCTTACAGTATGATAGATAGGATTTGGAGTCAGAATTCAGGTTTGAATCTTGACTTTGCCATTTACAGGCACGAGTCTTAAACTGAGATAAGGTTTATCTGAGATAATGAGTAAAAAGCTACTAACACCCTGCCTACACCATATTTTAACATACGGTAATTGCTATTTTTCATTACCTTTTTAAAATAAGGTATATCAGATCTACCCAAGTTAAATATAAAGCCACATTCCAACTATTGTATTAATTCCTATGTACCTCCTCTTTTTCCCTGGCTTTTTTACTGCTTTCTAGTAAAGACAAATGAAGACTTTGTGGAAGTTTATTTGCCTCTAAATTGCTCTTAGTCCAGATAAAAATGTCAAGGATTATATAGTAGTCTCTATAATTTAATCTGTGGATTAAATACATGTTTTGATCAATAAATTATTATCCAAGAAATTGTGGAAAGAGGTTAACAGGAAATCTTATCTATTCTAGAACAATTCACTGCTGGCATTTTTCTAGACTTAATTATTGAATTTTATGCTGTAACACATTAACTTACAGGAACTCTTTTCCCGTGTAATGTATTTGGAAATAAACAGGAATCAATTGTTCAGAACTAGTTTTTCTTGTTGAATTATGGCTTCACAGACCTCTGGTTTACCAGTGTGTAACCAAGGTTCATTTAAATTTCAGCAAGGATTGTAAAAGTAGTTCTCTTCACACTTAAAATGTGACAAATAAAACTCAATATAGGAAATCATCAGTATCTCAGTATTGGGTCTCTGGTTGTTTTCTTCCCTTTTAAAGATTCCTATGATATTTATATTGTGGTTTTCTATGCAAAACAAATCATTAAACTAGTCATTAGCTGCTTTTATTTCTAAAGTGAAACTTCAGTAAATTTAGAAAACTAATAACCATAAACTTGTTATTCTCATTTGAATTGGCACTCCATGATCATTTTAGTTCTCTTGTAACAATGCACATGTTAGGCTTAATCATTTCCACTGTCTTAAACTTGCTTAGTAGACCACACATGTGCTAGACTATTCCCTATAGTCTGTGGACTTGGGTAAGTTTGTAAGCTGTGCGTTTCCAGTCTGCAATGAGATAAATACTGTGATTGAGAGGAATTTTTTTATACATCTGCCCTTTTTTCCTTAATTCTTCTAGTAATTCATTGTTTTCTGTATTTTACAAATTTGGTTCCTGTAATTTGTAAACCATTTGTAAACCAATGCTAAATATCTAGCATTGGGCTTCTCCAACCTCATATGGCTGGAGAAGCCCAATGCTAGATATTTAGAATATAATATAAAACTTTTGTTGTTCTTAGATACTTAGTTTCCTAGAAATTACATTGTTAATCTTAACTGTTGAAGGTAAAATATGTCTTCTGACTTCCTGGAATTTTTACATCAACAGGGAGCTCCATTTAAATAACAACCTGTTACGAGTTCTACCTTTTGAGCTGGGAAAACTGTTTCAGTTGCAGACTTTAGGCCTAAAAGGTATGACTTCCATATTTGTGCTTCTTTTAGAAGAGGTCAAGTAACTTT